TTGTATAAATAAATCAAAACACAAAATTATTGCCAGGGGATGGATGGTGTAAAGGCCCAAAGTGTAACTGATTAAAAAAAATAATGAGCCATTGCTGGACCTATCCACAATGAACTTATTAGCCAAAATGTCAGAGATGCAACTCTATACTTCGGTTGTCCCTAAACCTCCAACTACTAGAAGTTGGGACTGGATGATCATTCAAGAAATTGCCTGTTCATGCCCCCTGAAACATCTTGCACTAGCCACTGTCAAAAGACAGAATACTGACCTAGATGGACTATTGGTTCGAGACAATGTGGCCATTCTTATGTTCAAAAAATACTAGAACTGTAAGGGCACTCGAGAGGTCATTGAGTCCAGTCCTATACCACTCTCAGTAGGACCAACCACCACCACATAGATCATCCCTGATATTTATCTACCGTCATCTTTAAATAGCTCCAATGATGGAGATTCCACAACCGCCCTAGGCAATTTATTCCAGTGCTTAACTGCCCTGACAGGAAATTTTTCCAAATGTCCAACCTAAACCTCCCATGCTGCAATTTAAACCCATTGCTTCTTGTCCTATCATCAGAAGCTAAGAAGAATTTTTCTCCTCCTTGTAACAGCCTTTTAGATTCTTGAAAGCTATGATGTGCCCTTAGTCTTCTCTTTTCTAAACTAAACAAACCCAATTCTTTCAGTCTTCCCTCATAGCTCATGTTTTCTAGACCTTTAATCATTTTGTTTTCTTCTTTGTTGTTCATTTTAAGACATCTGCACTGAAAAACCCAAAGTGGAGACCTACTGTCAGATGAAGAGAATTAAAAGCTACAGGTTGCACCTCCCTGGTCTGGAACCATTTGCCGGGCCAGGGAAGATCAGGCCTCCTGGCTCTTGCCTCCTCCCTGGGTTCTCCTCCCGGGCCCCACCACTGCTGGCTCCACTGGCTCTGTAAGCTGCCGGCCCACCAGACTCACTCTGCTCCTGTCCACCAACAACTTCTGCCACTGGGGCTCTCTGATCCAGGAGCTATCTGGTCCTATGGGATCACGGCTGTTGCCAGACCAGAGAGGTTCAATGTGTACTAGCCAAATTAAGCCCCGCTGGTATAAATGGATATTACTCCACTGCAGTATTCCCTCTAAGGAGTGTGACTGCGTGGCCATGCACAAACAATTCTAAGGCCACCCCACCTCCTTCGCAGAGCCGTGC